GAGTAATCATTCGGACTAAAAACGTCGTCAGCGCAACATCTTTAAATTCATCTTATGCATACATGCGTAGCTTTTTGGATCATTTTCCATTTTAAATGGATGGATATATCTTGTATTCAACTCATGAATTATACAACTTTGTCTTCTTGGTATTCCTTGAGATTATCATTTTCGTGTATTACAACGTGACTTCCCGAAAATTCTGAAAAATTATCCTAAGTTGAGTTACAGCAGTCACTCGCTGTTTTAAATAAACATCTTGACATATACGGCTTTGAATGAAAGTGATCCTGGTGTTGGATAACACAGCCGTGGTTTTACATTCCTGCTATAGGTCAGTCAAATGAGACTTGAATAGTATTAATGCCCGTAGCTGTAACCACCAATAAACCAAAAAAAACGTGGGATGCCTTTGGCTGAAGCGAACGCTTTACCGCGGCTGAAAAAAAAAATCTTGCAAAAGTTGACATGATTCAAGAAGAGAGACTTTGCATGTACAACTAGAGAAAGAAACAGGAAAGTGCGAAAAGACGTGTTTTTTCTAGATGCTTGCAAAAATACCTCAGAGTATATAAGGTCTACGGAGTTGTCTTATTTCAATAGGGTCTAACTTGTGCTGAATATAACCATTTATGAACATGAACTGATGACTGCGTTGCGTGCGAAGTGCAGAGTGAACCTACTTGATGTCATTTTTTACTAGTTATTATCAACACATATCGTCATTTTAACTCGGTCACTCCAAAGAGATTTTTTTATAATACAAACTCTCGATTTGTATATAATCAGAATAAGTATCTTTTTTTGAGAAATTATCAAAAAGATCGATTTCCTGTCCTATTGTTTGAATTTTATACGGATAAAAACTATGGGCCTTTAGAATCCGTTGGACAGTACGTCGACGAACACCACACACAGTCTCCAATTTGCGGATACTTAACGTAGGATCTACATAAACTTGCCCTAAAACCACCACTTCTATTGCTGCGTTCCTTATGGAATTTTCAATGTTGCGTTTTTTATTGGCGACTGACCCAATTTCCAGAAATTTAGCTACAAGTTCTAGAACATATTTTCGATGCACGTTACTGTTCTCATGTCACTCATTAAATATTTCTGCTGTTCTATTAGCGCACTGATTATTTCCGAAAATTATTTCGATAATTTCAACTCTTTCTGCTGTGGAATATACCATACTTGTTAAGTAAATTCTTTTAGTCAAATTTCTTCTGAAAGTAGTACAAACTAATATGATGTACCTATTAAAGTCTACTTTAAGCTTTAAATCAATAAATCTTCAAAACTACTGAACTGATGTCTTTTAGATCATTATAAAGAGAATTGAAAGACCTTTAAAATAAACTATGTATGTGTATTATTTTGTTTGAAATCAGTTTCGAGGATATAACTGGCACTCTTTTGGCGCACATCCGTTAGATATATCTGATTGACGTATGTATTCCTGGAGGAATGTTGATCACGAGTATAAATAATCTTCAAATTGCATAAAGCATATATGTCTATATTTCGGTAAGAAACGTCAACACTTTTTTCTTGATCACTTGATATTGGTCGAATAAAGTGCCTACGTCGTGTCGAAAATGGCCGTACTATAAAAGGCCCGTGCGAATTTCATTATCAATGATACAGGTAAGGCAATGTCAAGGACATTTCTACATAGAAGCGTGGTTCGTTGAACTTGAAATAAATTGTTGAAGGTAGGCAGGTATTTATGATTCTGAGTGTGCCATGGCGTTGACAAAAGTTTCATCGTGTTCGTCTGTTTTAGAATAACATTCTTCGAAATTCATAGTATTTTTTTGAAAACTTAGAAAGGTAATTTCTCGACTATAATTAATTACGTTTTGGTAAGATGTCTTTAGAACACTGAAGGGATTATCAATGGCATCCTTTAGCAATAATGTTTTTTTAGATATTCAAAAAATATCCTTTGATAAAATGGAGATCTCCGACACTTTATACATGTAAATAAGAAACATCCACCTTTACATGCAAAAAGGTATTAATGAAAACCAAACGATCTCGACTGCTGAATATATTTTGCTGCTAAATGACAATCATTTTGTTATTCAAATATCTTTGAACTCCCTTCAGTCAATACATTAAAATATCTTCATTTCTTCAATGTCGAGGAAAAAGCCTTCATGCGATAAATACTATAAGCAGTGAGATTTTCAATGGGCAGAGAATGATGTGTTTTCATCACAGAAGACATTTTTTCGAAATCAATGACGATGAGAGATAGCTATAAACCTGCTGGAATGGGCTCGAAACACGGTTCATAGTGTCAGGTGCCTCAACACTTCAAGAGCAAAGAATTTTGTTTGCCTTGAGAGCCATGATAGTCCTGATAGGCCTTTTATTGTAGAGGAAACAGTTGGTTGAGTTTGTTCAAATTTTTCGCTTTAAAAAACTTCTGCCTAATAAATAAGGGCGGATCAACATCGACAATCCCGCTCTTCGTATTACATATCACAAGGGCGTTCGCTGTAATGAACAACAACAACTGACAACATAAACATAACATTAAAACCAACGAAATGATTACAAAAATTGTTGAAAATGGCCCCCTTCACTTAGTATGCATGCTTCCGCCCTCCTTCTCATGGAATTGCGCACTCATTGAAATATCCCTGGAGTGTTTTTCATTCTATCACAAGCTGCATCTATTCTTTCTCTTAATTCCTTTACAGGGTTAATGGGACTTGTGTACACTAGTGTCTTAAGATAGCCCCACAAAAAGCAATTTAAACTGTTGAGGTCTGGGGACCTTGGTGGCCATTCTTGGGGGCCAACGCGGTCAATCCATCTATTTGGATAAACAGTTTGTAAATAATTACGAACCGCTACACTGAAATGCGCTGGTGCACCATCATGCATGTACCACATATTGTTTCTTATTACTAACGGAACATCATCAAGCAGCAACCGAAACTGTTGTTGAAGAAAATTGATGTAAGTCTGTCCGTCCACTCGTCCCGGCAAGAAGAATGGGCCAATAAAGTGGTTGCCAATAATTCCTGCCCATACGATACCCGAAACCCTGTAGAATAATGCCAAGCATAAAGGCTTTTAAAAAATTGGCACCCCTCCACAAATTGTCATAATTTGAACATAATTATATTTTAATAATCATGATTTGTAATTCGTACTGAGATCCGTCATTTTCGTTCCTATTGGCGTGCTACCTAACGTAATTCCTGCGGTCCCGATACAGAATTTTCAATGGCGAAAAATCACACACTCGAGCTGAGGAACTTTATTCTAAATTTGATTTTAACATTTGCTATCAGGATAACAGAAACGCGAGGAGGTATGAAATCTGCACGTTGCTCCTGATATGTAACTGGCAAACATTCATATTATTGACACGTAGACCTCTAGTCGTTTTTCCGTCCGTCTGATATGAAACCCTTCATGACTACAAATCGCACATTCGAGGGTCAAGAGATTCTAAGTATAATCGATGAAACTTTGTTATCAATACATTATAATCGCGAAGAGGTATAGAATCCGCATTTTGCTCCTGATATGTATACTAAGTGACATATAAATCCGAACACCCAGTTTAAATGGTTTTATTTTAATAAAATTTTGTATAAGTACTAATGAAGCATAATAAGTAAATGATAAAAATTTCAAAATGATTGCACTGCTTTAAAGCCCTTTGACCTTTAATAATGTGTGGATGCACCCTGATGTGCTACGCATTCTCCAACGCGCCTAGTCATGCTTCTGATCAGGTGGTCAATGTCCTCCTGTGGTATCTCATTCCAGGCAACCACCAACTCCTCTCGAAGTGCTTCTACTAGAGTCTGAGGAGGACGTTGCAAATTGAGCAATCTCCTACCCATCATATCCCACACGTGCTCAATTGGGGATAAGTCGGGAGATCTTGGTGGCCATGGTAACAATGTGACATGATTATGTTGGAAGAAGTCTATTGTGACTGTTGCAACATGTGGTCGGGCATTATCTTGTTGGAAAGTTGGATCTGCCAGGGTGTCAAGATCAACAAGATAGGGTAAAAGATGGTGGTTAGTGAATTAAAAAAAGCAGTATAAAAACCGGAATGTCCAACTGATAATTTTTTCACTTGTTATTTACAGTAAGAGAAATACATTCACCAACTTTTATTAAAATAAAACCATTTAAACTGGGTGTTCGGATTTATATGTCACTTAGTATAGTAACTGGCGGGAAATTCAAATTACTTATGCAGACCTCGTAGTCATTTCTGTCCGCCTTATACGAAACCCTCCATGACTGGAAGTCGCACATTCGTCGTGCAACATACTAATGGTCGGTACACACGGCAACAATAAAACTGCACAGTTCATTTGCGCAGTTTATCGAACGTTCATAGTACGTCCACACATCGACGATATCTGCGTCGATTTTCGTCCATACGTTCGATGAAACAGAAAATGAACTGTACAGTTCTATCGTTGCCGTGTGTACCGACCATAAATTTCATGTGAGATTTGCTATCAAGACAACATAATCGCGAAGGTATATAGCACTTTGCTCCCGATATTTAACTGGAGTCAAATTCAAATCACTGATTTCCTCTTAATAGTTTGGTTGGGTGAAGATTTGCTACCAGGACAACAAAAACGCGAGGAATAGAAAAAGTGCTATGCTCCTGACCAGTATATCAGACAGACGCTGCCAATAGAATGGTATATGCCAAGCTAGAAAAGATAAGTATTTCTATCAGACATTTTCGTTCCTATCCTGAGAGAAGCACGATTCGGAACACTCATAGGATCCAACGACGGTAAAAAAAAGTGGCAGGATTAGGTAGCCTGTTTAGTTTCCCACTGCAACTGTATTCGGTTACAAAAAGTTAACCATATGACCAAAAAATTCCACAAAGGGTTTAAGAAAAACACAGTTTTAATATATAACTTTTAATATTTCTGAATAATAATATTAATAAAATGATATTTATATGTTATTTACTATAATAAAAAAATCACACATATACCATTTCTTTGGAAATTATTATAAAAGAGCATTAGAACGAGCTTCTTACATGAAGGCATTATATGCAAATAAAAAAGTACTGCAAGTAAAAAGTGATTAATGATGATTCGTCCTAAGTATATTTATAATACAAAGAAATATATAAACAGTCTTAAATTGCACCAAATCTATTGAAACCTACAACGGCAAATTTTACTTCACAAAAAAAAACTTATAATTTTGATTACATTAACGATGGATGAAAAAACAATAACAACACAAATCCAATCAACCTCCCTTGAGGTCAAAGAATACAACCAGAGTTAATCATCAGTTAATAAATTTTCAGTGTTGCTATTATTTATACATCCTACAATAGGTACGCGGTAACTTACTTTATACGATGGAAGCTTATTAGATTTTGGATAAAATTAAGAGAGCATCGATAAAAATGTACTTAACAAAAATGGGTGGGACATTTATTTTTTATAAAATAGCGTTACAATAGAGCTGATGCTATCGATCATTATTTATCCATAAATAACAAGCTTCGAATTTAGCAGTTTTGGATCAAGTAAAATTGCCAATTATAGACTTCCTGAATTTACCAATTGAGCTTGAAAAACCATAAATGTGTCATATGTGCAATCATACTGAAACATGTAATACAGGAACAAAAATTAGACAAAACAGAGAGACGTAACAATCTTGCAAACAACACTGTTGTGTATACTTAAGTAACAAATCTAAGACAACCTAAATACACCAATTTTTATTACAAAACGTCTTTGCGTATTTAATTTTTCTTCACAACACATAGGAAAATTTTAAAGGAGAATACCTGGGTAGTCGATTGATGTGGAGGTAGCTGAGAGTAAAAACTCGCACATTTGCTTTAATAATCGATTCTGATTTTTATCATTATTGCTAAAAGCTACCACCAGTAGGCTAGACTATCAGTGATCATTTCGAGAATCTGTGAAACTATAATCTTAGTGTAACTGGTTTTGAAATCAAACAAAAAGCTTTTCAAGAGCAGCTAAGATGTGTTGTTTTTATATATATTTTCCTGCCTTTTTAATCAAGTGCTCGTTCATACTTTGAAACATATGAGCATATTTATACTTTCCGTACATCTTAACAAATATTATCTAATTTTTGCACTTTCCATACAAAACTGTTTTATCCCACTTATTCCAGACTAGTATAAAAAGGGTTACCTTATCACTCTAATTTTGTCTAATATAGGTAAGTCTTCCAAAATTTTTGGTAACCTACAAACTGCGTATAAAAAGAAGACAGTCTGATCAGTCGCCAAAAGTTGAAGAAAAACAGTCGACATGCTTATGTAGTGCTTAAATGCTAAATCGCATTGAAAAATGTATACAATGGTCTTTATGCAAATAAGTATATACAAAAAAGAAAATCACTAAACTGACACACTGGTGTGACTCACCACCGCATTGAAAGACAGGAACATACAAAATCAACTGAAAAGAAGTATTTTCACTAAAATTAGTAATGCTTTTTTATAAAACATTATTAATGTGAAGTTTCAGATATTTGCGTTAGCCTAAGAAATTGTCTGAAGGGCATTACTTTTCCATTGGAATAAAAAAATAGTTCCAAGTAAAAAACGATACCTTTTTCAGCGACACGTATGCCCTACCATTGAAGATTAAAACTCGCTGAAGAAGACAAAGATCTACCTCAACGATTTGCTTCAATACTTTCTGCCAGTCATATTTGAACGTTTTCAATCCACAGATAATAGTGAGCCTCTCCTTTGGAAAATATTGTTACCTGGTTTTGCACCATTACAAAGATGTAGTAGGAGTAATTTAGTTATATCAAATATTACACTAACTACCGCCTATTTTATATCTACAACTTCTGTGAGCATCACTTCTAAAAAATACACCTGGTTGGCACCAAAAAATTATATAAATGCTCCCTCACTACCGAAGATAAGAAACGTGTGTTAGTGATATAACAAAAATAATCCACAAAAGGTTAGAGCTTGATATCACAATTTATTACAAGATACGACAACGTGAAAAATAAATTTTCTAAATAAAGATGGCCCTCTACGCAAACCATAAATCTCGAAAATTCATAGCTTCCCGATAATTTTCTTGATCACATGCAAAGCTTGTACAAGAAGAGCACCTAGCATTATCTTTTTGCTAAACGGGATTTTTAAAAAATTTTGCATGCCATTATTTAAAATAGGAAATATAAAAAAATGCAATGATTACTAATGGCTTATAGAATGTCGAAAAGCCGGAAACCTCAGTACATTTGTTATTTATTTTTTTACTCGTGCAGTGCCAATTTTTGTATAATTCAATCTCAAATGCTAGCACCATTTCGAAAATAAAATGTAAATCTAGCGTTTGGAAAGCTTTTGTTAGGGTTGAGTAAATAAATACTTGATACCTTTATCACATTTTCCAAAATTTTTGTTAGGTGTTTTTTCCATTTGACTTTTAGGCACTAAACTACCTCAATTTAAAACAACAGAAAAAACATTACACTAGGTTCTGCGTTGATTCAATTTCAGGTAGCTTAAACCCAGCTTACTAGTTAGAAATGTTAATGCAGTTATAATTTCCCTTAAACTTAAAAGTAAGTAGCATGGGCACTACAGAACGTATTTTCTTCGGAAATACAAAACTTGATCCACAATCAAATCTCAGTATGTGATACAAAAGTAACGTGGTACCAGATGTTACTAGGAACTATGAGGTTCAAAGAAATCCTTTAACCTCTTCATATCCAGAATATGAACATAGATCCAGGTAAATTATTTTCAAGACAAGATGCAAATAGTTTTTTCCTGACTGAATTGTGTTGGATTTTGTTCACGCATTATATCACCATACCAGATCTATTGTGTACCAACTGTATTTATACTATTTTTTGATGAGAAACATTAAAGCCGTCAATAGGCTTACAAACAAATATGTACACAGTTTCGAGTTTTGCCTCACTTTACTATAAAATCAACTCTAAAATAAAATATATGTGGTGTCCAAAAATATGGAAAAGCGTCATACCATACCTCACTCACTCCCAATATTATACAGTTTATTGTAGTCCGGTTGTAGTATAATATCATATGAATTCAGAATGAGGGATCGTTAAACATCTACTTGCGCCTTTAACAAAAACAACAAGCATCAAGAACATGAGAGCAGAAGTCCTAAAATTCCAGGAGCTTGTCTTTAATTTTTTTGTTCAAGGTTTTTGGTTTGTGTATTCAACAATCAAAGAAGCACAGCACTGGGGCGCTTTCTATCAGCGACCATTTGAGTCAAACGGACACTGATCTTAAGCCCTACAGCTCCATGAATGCAGCCAATCTAAGTGAACAATATAATAAAAAACAGTTGCTGATGGGAGGTGTTTTAATAAAGTCTGAAAGAACAATGTTCTGGTTGATATTTAGGGAAATGTGCTCCTCCTTTGTTTTTCCCACATTTCTACGTAATGTGAATCTAAAAAACAAGCAAATTGGAAGGATATATACTTTGTGAAAGTACTTTCCGACCTTCTGAAACTCATCCGAAGGCGCAAGCAAAATGGTCTTTATCCGCCCCTCATTCCAAATTCAGTTGCATAGTGCAAATTATTTCTGTTACCAGTTCGCCATTCCCGGTTTGTTGAGTGTCATAAAGTAAATCTGACACGACGAACCACTCTTAGCACTAGAGAAGAAGACCTTGTCGTTCCTCTCGCAGAGGAATTTTAACCGTTGCGATTTTTTATGCATAAATACGCCGTCTAAATGACCGGACTCCACCGATCTGATTTCGATGGCCTTGTTGCCCCAGCCCATAATTTGACCGGTGCCGATGTACGCCACTGACGTCGGCATCTCTCCCCACTGAAATTAAAAAAAGAGCGATTTTTATGCGGAGGAAAATTGAATGGCCGTTTCAGTATGATAAAAAATATGTTCATGTAAACATTTCTTGATATAACTATCCATTAAGGAACACCAGGTATACTAAAGCCATATAAATTCTACAGGGTGCGTCACCTATTACTTTTTTCTATTTGAAAAATCAACACGCTTTTTACGAGGTGAAATCGATTTTTTAATTGATGAATGAAGGTTTGTTTATGGCATTTATGTACGAAAAATAACATCAGGCATGTGACCACCGCGGCTTCGTTTACAGGCCAACATCCGAACATCAAAATTTTCAATGACTTTTCCCAGAATAATCGGGTCTATGGCCGCAATTTCAGTCCGAATATTGCGCTTTAGGTATTGAATTATCCGGGGACCATTCGCATACACTTTTCCTTTTAAAAATCCCCAAAGAAAATAGTCAAGAGGTATTAAATCGCACGATCTCGGGGGCCAACTGACATCTGAATTTCGTGAAATTATGCGGTCTTGAAATTTCGTGTGCAATAAGGCGATTGCTTGGCGAGATGTGTGAGCCGTTGCTCCGTCTTGATGAAACCAAAGATCGTCGGCACCAATACTATCCAATTGTGGCCACCAAAAAGTCTGTTAACACGCCGCGATAACGTTCCCCGTTGACGGTAATGGTCTTTTCTTCGGCATATTCAAAGAAGAATGGTCCAACGATGCCACCAGCCCATAATCCGCACCAAACAGTCACTTTTCCAGGATGGAGAGGTTGATCATGATATTGCTGTGGATTTTCAGCCCCCCAGAATCTGCAATTTTGCTTATTTACGTACCCATTGAGGTGAAAATGAGCCTCATCAGAAAAGAGCACTTTGGCCGAAAATCCGTCTTCTCTTTCATCCATCCAATTAACAAAAACACGCCGCTGTTGACGATCTGCCGGCTTCAATTCTTGTGTTAGTTGGATTTTGTATTCCCAATTGTTGCGAACGGTGCCTAGTCGAGGTGGTTGGATCTTCTCGCACACTTTCACTCACTGCGGCTATGTTTTCACGAGTACGAGCTGGACTAGCATGTTGGTATGGTCTACGACCTTCAGCTGAACCAGTTTCCTCAAAACGATTAACAATTCAACGAATTTCAGGCTCTGTAGGGCGTCCATGTCTGCCAATACTAGTGCGAAGTTTGCGAAAAGTATTTTTTATATTTCGACCGTTTTCGTAATAAGTCTGGATAACCAAAATGCGCTGTTGTAAACGAATCCATGACTATAAATGGCATACCTTTGACAGTTCATTTATGTATACCACATGACTTTTATAAAAAAAAAGTAATAGATGGCGCACCCAGTACTGCCTCTTGGAGTAAAATTCCAAGAAGTTTCGATGCGCTTTTGAGAAAACGACAAATATTTTTGCAAAGACCAGTGACATACAATTTTTGCCAAAAGAATAATTTTAAGCACCCCGTGATGTTTCAAATTTTTAAATGCTTTTTTTATTACATTTCAAACATGTGAGAAACTTTTAAGGGATTTTAAAGATATCACATGACTTACCTGGAGCAGCATGTTCTTCGATATCCTACCATATGTGTTGACATATACTCCTTCATTATCATAACACAGCAAAAGCTGCATACCATTGCTATTCGGTAAAGTAACTATACAGTGTGGTGTTATTACAGTTTGCGTCTGAAAATAATAAAATCCAACATAAATCCGCATATTAAAAAATGTACGAATATGAATATGCTGAATGACCACCACTACAGTCTGAGAACTTTCAACAAAAAATAACAGCAAATATAACAAATATTTTATATGTAGTTAATCCAGAAAGTAAACCATAACATCCAAAACTCATCAGAAGATCTACAAAAATTGTAGATAAAATTTTGAACTTAAGCATTTAAAGGGAATGCAACGGATTTTTACAAAACAAGTTTAAATAATGAGTATGCGCTACTTTAGTCATCTATCAGTCCAGGCTGTAAAAGTTTTAGAATAATTTGAAATTATCTCCGTTCATACAGCATACTGAGGAACCTTTATAATTAACAGTTTAGGACAGAAAAGGACATGGCACTCCACCCTGACGTACTCCAAACATTATTATGGATTAGAGACCGTGTTACCCAGCTTAACCAGATTTTTTCTCTTTGGCATAAATGACAGAATCCACTGATCAATTTTATTTGCGAGGATGTTACTTGTACACTGCTTTTGATAAATCAAGAAATATTGTCATTGTGTAACAGGTTTTATCAAGCTTTTTATAGATGAACGAAAACAATGAAAATGCTACCGTATTTGTTGACGGACAGATGGAAAATTAGGTTCCTTCGAAAAACCATACATTCTACAGGGTGCGGCAGAGAGGATGGACGGTTTTAAAAAACTCCTAAAATAGTTAATTTTTACTCGAAAACAAATTTATTGATGGAAGGAAATAGCATTTGAGACAGTCAAGTGTGGAAAATCACATCAGGCATGTGGTGGCCGAAATCGTTTATGCAGTGCTGGAGGCGTTCTTGGAAGTTCGCGTAGACTCTCTCCAACATCGCTCTCTCAACTTGGGCGACTTCCACGCGAATTTCGTCCTTCAATTCGTCCAGAGTTCGGGGCTTGTTCGCGTATACTCTAGCCATAAGAAAAAATCGCATATGGATAAACCTGGGGAGCGAGGAGGCCAATGAACATCTCCAAACCTGGAAATAAGGCGACCAGGGAAGAGAGGGCGAATAACGTCCATGGATGCTCGAGCTGTGTGGGCGGTCGCCCCATCCTGCTGGAACCACACACGTCGGATTGGAACACGTCGCCGTCGTAATTCAGGGAGAAAGAAGTTGGTGATCATGTCGACGTAGCGCTCTGAGTTCACGGTAACATCACGACCATTACCGTCTTCGAAGAAGGGCCAATGATGCAAGTTTGCGATACAGCGCACCAAACCGGTACTTTTGGGCTGTGCAGCTGTCTTTCGTGTAACTGTTGCGGATTTTCATTAGCCCAATAACGATAATTCTGCTGGTTAACTATGCTGTTTAGGTGAAAACAAAATGAGGTTCTCATTTTGATCGATCAGTGCTTCCGTCTCACGTGCGAAGTTCATTCGTTGTGCATAATCTCCGGGCTGTAACTGTTGCACAATGGCCAATTTGTAGGGGTGAAAGCGGAGATCCATATGCAAAATCCGCCTTACCGAACGATCACTAGGGCGAGGTGCAGCAGCATGTTTCCGGGCAAATCGAGTCGGACTGCGAAGAAAGACCTGTCGAACGCGTTCAACATTTTCAGGAGTTCGAACTGTTCGCGGCGCTCCTCATGGTCTTCTGTTGATCAGTTCCAGCTCTATTCCGATGAATGTTGAAGTGGCGACGAAACTCACGCTGTACGACGATGACTGACTCATTATTTCGGACGAAACAATCATAGGCGAAAACGCGGTGCTCCACCGTCCAAGGCTCCATAACGACAACTGGTAAAATAATGCTAGGATCTCACGAGTCAAACGGCACCCTCCCCACCTCTCTCGTAGACGGAGGCGGAGAGTACTACCCATCCCAAAAACGTCCGTCCTCTCTGCCGTACCCTGTATTATAAACGATTCTCTCAAATATTTTTGAGAAGACAGACAGTAATGTGCTTGTTTCTTGTGAACAACCATCTTTCACTGCTTCGGCGCGAGGTTGCTCCCATTTACAGCCTGGATTACAACACTACCATAACATGCATATAAAAATAAAAAAGAATACATACAGCGGCAACATTTACCTTGGGCAGGTAGATGTCATATACGCTAGCGGAATCGAGGTCAACGGCGTGGAAGCCTTCGCTGCTGCCGTAGATGACCTTCAGCCGCGTACCTTCTTCCACCGTGAGGTCAACGAGAAGAGGTCGGTACGTGAGGTCAGAGAAGGACTTGAACGCCATGAACTTGTGGTAGGGCTTCGGCGCCCAAGCGTATATCTCGATGCTGTCCTTCAGCGCGATTACGAGGAACTTGATGCGCTCGTACTTGACGATTTTGAAATGAACTGCGCCTTGTAGATCGCCCACGTTTATCCACCCGTTTCGCCTCTCCACTTGCTGGAAGAGAAAGGAAATTGAAATGGACACTCATAAAAGGGGGAGGGTAATCTTGCCTCACTAGTTGAAATACAGTACAAAGATCTTGAGGTTACAGCTACAATGGAAAGAAATTCAAGCCAGATTTAAAGTTTGTTCTTTGTTCAGGTCTTTCGAAGCTGTTTATTTTCTTCCATTTAACTTTAATTATAATGTTGAAATCTACTTTCGAACAACTTTGGAAGGAATCTGGATGCCCGAAATAGGGGTTAGAACCATTTAAACGGCAAATCAGCCTGTTCGTAAGCGGATCGATGATGTCTATCCGATGGAATATTTTGATTCGGATTTTTTGCATAATCTTATTCAAAAAGGACCCTTTTAACGGGTTTGCGTATTGCCAGGCCCGAATTTGTGTCAAAAAATCTTTGAACAATGTTTTTGAACAAATTCCAAAAATTGGTGTTCTCACTGCAGTTCAGTGTTTTTACGGTTTTTAGGAAGTTCTGAACAGAAAAGGTGCTTTAGAACATTTCTCTAAAGTCAAATATGCCATTTCGGCTACTGATCACGTTACTAAAAAACGAAAATTTCAATGTTGCCGGACTTCCTAAAATGTTCGGAACAGGTATTACGTATCTTGAAAAGTGACATTATGTAGGTTTTTCTACAAGATGTTAACTCAGCACTAGCTGATGGACATATTGTGAACTCGTTTTGTAGTTGTACGTGTTGCCTAAACGTCTTGATGCTTCAGTTATCAATGTTTGGATCTGATGTGATTTAAAATCTGCTTCAGAGACAGCAGTGCATAGGTCCATAGTGAGCTAGAAATTAGTTGCGCATCCACTTTTTCTTTTCCATTCTGGAAATTTCATATGCAAATTTGCTGAATTTCAAAAATAAGAGAGATAAGAAAACGAAATCCTGGTTGGTGAGAAAATATACTACAGTCAGGAATATGTATGAAAGTGAAAAGGCTATTACATTATTTTTTATTTCCAGTCATTCAAATTTTATAGAAATTTATTTTGCGAAGTCAATAGAAAATACATCCGCGCCTAGATGCGAGGCTTACGAAAATGTTTGATGTGTGATGCGTTATTCCTAATTTTTCTGTGATGCAGCTTAATTGCACACAACGCGGGCGCGGTGACGATTCCCGTAATGCTCCACAAAGTTTTTGAAAACACAAACGGGAAAAATCGTAATTTATAACTACATATTCTGTCTTCAGAAATGCTCACACGTAAATAACCCGTATAATAGATATACTTCATTGGCAGCATAGTAATAGTTTTCTCATATAGCAAATATCACCGATTTTATACACATGCAGACCAATACACCTAATCATCAAGATGCGATCTTGCTATTTAATCAACTTTCTGACTCACATTTCAGAGATAAATACTACAGTCTACTCGGCTTCACAAAACATATACATGTTCTCTGCAACCAACAATGCGTGTAGTCGAGTCACTCCTTCATAGATGGACACTCGCAGCGATCATAGGTGGCAAACGTGGAATGAGCTACTCGCACCATAAAAACTACCTAGTTTGCAAGACGTTGTTTTTTACGTTTTATAGGTTTTTTACATAATGGTACTTATGTTAAATTGAGTTGGATTGAGACGAATAGGCTGCAATAGTCATAAACAATGACCAAGTAAACCTTTCTGAAGGTTTCGTGACATTAGCGCGCTTGGTTTGCATTGGGTAGAAAAAAAAATTACGTAAATCGTCTCAAAACCTGCCTCTCTCATACTTGGTTAGACTGACTGCAACATTCAATTTTATTGAAATAGTGGACGTGGCCTTCCACTACAACATCTTTGAAGATCGTAATAGTACTTACATCGCTAACACCATCAGTCCTCAAGATCTTGCTCTTCAGCCAACTGAGATAATACACCCTAACCCTATTCTTCTTCCCTGATATCGTCACGAGAATATTTTGTCCTTCCAACACCTCCATCTGTTGAAACCTTCTCCTTGATATGAGCTGGTACACCTTCCCTTGACCGCTCCTGTCCAACAGCATCAGTCCGTGTTCTGTACCAATCAATAGGTTCACACCTGAAAATACGTTGATGCAGATAAAGTTATGCCAAAAAACCCATCTATAGTCAACGCCAAACAAAGTGGCGTGCACGTCATCACGATAAAAATTCCCCGACCTAATGCCTAGGTTTCTATCACAAACAATTGCTCTATTGCAGTTTCATATTAATGTGATATATAAATTGTAAAATGGTCATTACTCTCTTATTATGGTTAATAGTCATATAAACATTGTTATTAAAATATCACATAAGTTGCTTTCTGATAAATTTAGACGCATTATGCGAAATAAAATGTTTTGCAAACGCTCCAATCACTTATCGACATGTAAACGCACTAAACCGATTTCGCAGCGTTGACACATTGTCACCTTGAAACTTATTTAAACTGGGAACTGACATTTGTATTAATTTTGACACTGAATCAATTTGTGGCATTTCAAATCTTTATAAATCCTTTGGCCCCGCATACTGTAAATCAACAACTGTTTGTTTCAAAACAAAATTATTCATTTTACGAGTAGATAAAGGCAATTTTGGTATATAAAGATGCCCAAACAGTTAAATAGTCGGTGTAAGGAACTCGTGGCCTCGTTAATGCACTACTTTGAGCAAGAAAGGGACAACAACGGGCCTTTGTTGCCTTTAAATGCTGTTCAAGAGGTAGGTTACTAATAATTATATGTAATGTATATTAATAATAGTGAAATTTTATTTCATTTTTTGTACCGTGTTGCTGCTGCTTTAAAAATTAGTTTAAGGACAGTTAGTCGTATTTCCGAGGGTGTGAAAAGTGATGCAAATTTAGAATCGCCCAAGAAAAAGCGGAGTTATATTAAACGTGTAACCAACACAGCGACATTGGATACAAGTGCCATTCGAGAAGTGATCTATAATATGTATCACAAAAGTAAGATCTTATTATAATAACTTATCAGAAATTTGCATTAATTTGTTAACTAAATTATAATGTCATATTACACATGGTTTCAGAAGAACAAGTTACGATACAAACTTTATGGTCTCGATTAAGAGATAGGGCATTATTTGATGGTAGTGCCACGTCTTTAAGGCGGTTGCTTAGAGATCTTGGATTTAAGTGGCTTAAGGACAATCCGCGACGAGGGCTCATGGAACTACCAAGTATAGCTTTGAAAAGGGTGGAATTTCTAAGGCAATACAATCAAGCCAAGGTTGAGGCCTTATACCAGTTTGTCTTCCTCGATGAAACTTGGATATTTCAAAATGGGACCATAGGTCGCTCTTGGCAAAATGGAAACCAAAAAAGCGTGAAAGCTATTAAAACAGATGGTAAAAGGTATGTACTTTTACACAATTTGCACTATAAAATTTAAAACTAATATATTTTAGATACATTATATTACATGCTGGAAATGAAATGGGTTTATTGAGGGTAGTGAAGCGATATTTTCTTCGAAAACAAAATTGAGCGATTACCATGGAGATATGAACCAGGACAATTTTTTGAAATGGTTTCAACATCAGTTATTAGAAAAATTGGAGAGTCCATCTATGATTATACTGGATAACGCCCCTTATCACAGCATGATATTGAACAAAGTGCCCAACAATGCATGGACAAAAAAAATATCCAAGACTGGTTGACAAATCAAAACATACCATTTTTAAACACAATGTTTAAAACAGAGCTATTGAGTATTGTTGCTCGGTACATAATGCTTCTTAATTATATATATTTTGGTCGACAGTTTATATTTCTTTTGTTTATTCCTATTCTTAAAATAACTGCTTTTTTAGAAACAAACCACCTAAAATATACGTGATTGATGAATTGGCGGAACAACATGGGCACAAAGTTCTTCGTCTGCCTCCTTACCATTGTATATTAACCCTATTGAGTTAATTTGGGGCATAGCAAAAGGTTACTATAACAGACATATTGGTAGAGATGGTAACAGTGAAAAAGACTGTTTGGATATGTGGAACGAGGCTCTACAAACGGTTACCCCAGACATGTGGAAAAATAGTGTTCGACATACTGAGCAAGAAATTTTTAAATGGTATGAAAGAGAACGAATTTTTGATCGACCAGACATCGAACCTTTAATAATCAACTTTGAGAGTGATGAAGATTCAGATTCAGACAGCGCTGAAGAAAGAAACTCCGACTAACTTTATTGTACAGAAAAAGCTTACACCAGTAGCTTACCTAATTTTAGAATGCATTTTTCTGTATGAATTCTGTAAAATAAATACCATGCATAAAATTTGGAGGACCCCATTTGGATTTTTATTCAGTACCTTTAAGCTATCAATTAAATATGGTAGTTTCATAGTGTCATCTGATCAATAATTGTCATACTTAATGATTATGCAAGTACAGATCTATAATTTTATTATACTATTATTTTTGTTCTCATTTGAGGTTAATATTGCTTATAAACCTAGATATGTAAATAATAAATTTTATTATTTTACAAAAAGTTTGGCAACAATGTAAATCTTTCAACACACCCACCTTGATGACGTGCACGCCACTTTGTTTGGCGTTGACTATACACTAGTTGTCGAAAGATATTACAAGACAAATATTACGGTAAACCTTACTCACCCCATAGAGCGGCACACAATATTTCGCTGTTGAACCGTTTCTTGTATTTGCGTATCTCTGGCGTGTCGGACGACACCTCGTGCGATGTGGGCGTCACATTGACGTTGACGTGCGACTCCCGCCTAGAGGGCGCTGCACTCGCGCCGAATCCGAACGCCAGGAACGAGCGCTGTTTCTGTTGGAGAGCCAACGCGTTAGCGTGCAAGTGATGCCCGCCACCACCGACAGACGGCGAGTGTTGATGTTGCGAGGGAGAGTTTGTTAGGAACTGGAATGAAAAGTAAACAGATATTTGATCGGATGCTCGTAGAATAATCTTCTGTAGGTTATCATGTTGTATGTCACAATTTATGGTCCAAGAGCCCGGCCCATGAATTATTTTACTTGGAAAAGATCAATTGAAACCTGTCAAACCAAAGCTGGCTAGCTGCATGGATGTCTAGACAAACTTCTAAAGTTTAAACATTTCCTAGTCGATGATAACTGATTGTAAAACTTTTATTACCTATAGGGTTTTTTTCCGGTATGTCAGAGCACCTAACAGGATTTCAGGTTTACTTAATGGTTCATGACATTACCATATATTTTTGTTATTCAGATAATTTCTGATGAGATTTCATGTCTGGTTTTAAGATGCAAGTTCTCGGGTTAGGATTTTTACACGCAACACGAAATGAATGCTTTGATCTAACAGAGTTTCTGGCAGATGGCAAGCCGATTTTTTTGCAATAGTAAAACTTTTTCCAGGTAAACGGTTCATAAGCTGGGCATTTATTAAATGACCATTAATTGGAACTATATCACTATACAGCAAGCAGAACAAAACAACTTGCGCGTGACCTATTAACGAAGTTCTTTCTTCATGTATAAAAGTATACCAGAAATCCAATTTTCAACTACCCTGCTACATAGATACAGCTAAATTTGACTGATGACTTGGGTCATGTTGACCTTGAGGCCACACTGGTTCTCGGTTTATTTGGAAAACCTACGACTGGAGAAAATATCATAAGGAATGACCAAATTCTGGTCATATCTGCCAGAGATAAACCTACCCTACCATAATGTTTTATTTGGAATTTTTATCACTGCGTTTGCGATGTACCACATGAGATAGTCCATATCCTTCAATTTGGACCAAAATAAATTGATATGTAGCGATCTCAGCTGTTTTCAAATTTTTACATAAAGTAAGGATCAGTGTCGGCTCAAAATTGATATAACCCAGGCCGCTGTTCAGACACTACCGGATCCATGTGGTAGTCATTGAAATTGGATCTCTTGCATCTGTGCAGAGCAGCGGCAAGTAGTTGACTCATGTCATATACCATATAGGTTATCATACATGGGCGTTTCAAATAAAAAAGAATTCAGTTAATAACTTGTACAGAACTTGTTTTATTCAATTTTAACGTCAGCATGACATTGGATCATCCTGTTTTTTATTCTTTGGTCACGGATGCATCAGAGATAAGTACAAACACAGGATAAATGCCTGACGTTATATCAATTTACGGAGCCTCTAAACGTGCAGAATTTTTGTTGCAATATTTAGCTTGAACTATTGCAACTATAGTTCAGCCATCATGAACATATTGCAACACATCACCCGCCTATATATCTCGGCTATATCTTGGCAATATTGCCTGCAAGGTATACATGCACTTTTCAAATTTCTCGTCAAAAGGGCTACTAATTAAGGCAACAATAACGAAATTATACTCGTCACGGCAACTTGCATTAAGTAAGTCAGTTCGACAATCGGATAGCAATATATGATAATAAGTCGGAAATTTCAAACATACATGTATGTAGCAACATAGTCGCACCATGCTTAAAATATTGCAGGCAACAAAATAATGCAGTAAACATTAAGTATCCAATTAGCTGATATATTAATCGGCCGATATGAATGTCCCAATGCCCTATACAGTAATGGACAAAGTATATAGACAAATTAATATTGTGTTGTATTTCTTTTTTAACTTGTTTTATTAATACACCAACCTGTATACATAATTCGTTATAGCATGATACTTATACATAAATAAAAAATTAATTGAAAACACTGGAATAATATCTATCTCGTATTTGCTTATCTAAGTATTCCCATAGATTTTCAATGGGGTTCATATCGGGAGACTGTGAAGGCCATTTGGGAAATGGTATTTTTTCATCCAGAATGCATTTCTTTGCGAGATTTGAAGTGTGCTTCGGGTAATTATCTTGCTGGAAGATTGATCTTAAGTGCATATTGTCTTCCATATAGGGTAACATGACATGCTTTAGTATGTCTGTGTATACAAACTTATCCATAATGCCATCTATTCTATGTAAAGGTCCCATCCCAAACCCCGAAAAGCACCCCAAACCCAGACCCGAAACCATGTTTGACAGTGCGCAAAGTGTACTTGAGGTTCAATGTTTGTCCACTAGGACGTCTAACCATCTGATCCAAACGTATAGAACTTGGATTCGTCACTGAAACCTACCCTCTTCCAGTCACAGATGCTCCAATCAAGATGCTACCG